ACGTGCTACAACATGGATGAACTTTAAATACATGTTGCTGGGGGAAAATCTAGGAAATGGCAGGATTAATAAAAATTCTGAAGATGATGGTGCTGATGGTTACACAACAATGTAAATATACTTAAGGTATTGAACTGTACACTAGAAAATGGATAAAATGGTAAATATTTTGCTTTCACTACTTTGCCACTATTTAAAACATTGTGTTGATTCCTGGCTTTCATCCAGACCTATTAAATTAGAAAATGGAAAGAGGGAAAGGGGAAAAAGTAGGGTAGCAACTGGAAGTTGATGCTATGTGGACAACTCTAATATAAAAATGAGGACACATAAAATCCCTCCTGCTTATACCTCCACAGCAACTTCTGTTCTTACTTTGGGATCACGATAATTTGACTCTGTGTGGCTGGAGCAATGGCTGTCATTTTCAGTACTGCATCGTCAGTATTTAGGAAACTGCTGGGCTCAGAGCAGAGCTAATTATGCATATGTTGAGTTACTTAATTTGAATGTGAGCCTCGTAGCTCTTATTTGTAAAATAACTACAATGATTGCCTTAAAGGATTAATCCGAAGATTTGAGATAATGAACATAAAAGACCTTGTACCTTACCTGACTCATAGAGACTTTTCACTAGAAGCATCCATTATCATCATCATCATCTTCATCATCATCATCATCATCAGGAGAGGAAATATAATTATCCTGGGATCTCAGGTCCCTTATAGGCTCCAGTGGTGCACTACACTGTATATACTTTGTGGACAAGTTTAATATAACTTAGTGCTTGTATAATAGTGCTGTATGCTCACTCAGACTTGGAGCTGCCAGGTCTTTGCATTTTTAAAGAGAAACTAAAAATATAGTTTTTATTTGAAAATTGCAGTTTATGTAAGTAGTTTTGGAAAGATTTTATTTTATTTTTTTCAGCTTTAATTGAGTTTATTGGTACATTTTAGGGATACAGTACAGTTACATTCATTGTTCGGATCTTGTACCTCTACATAACAAGTCTTGGTTCTCATTTTTTCCCCCTTGTCCCTGCACTCCCTTCACCCCCTCCTCCCCTCCCCATCTACAAACACTTTATTTCCATCTTATCATTATCTCACATTTTTTTCTTTTCCCTTTTTACCCTTCCCCTACCTGTCCCACCTTCCCTACACCTTTACCTCCTTTCTTCCCATTTCTCAATGTCAGTAATCTTATTAGGATCTTCTGTATTATTGCAGATTATTCACACCAGAGAAACTATTCAGTATTTACACATGTGTCCCTTATTTATTTCACTTAGGAGTATATCTTCAATATGGAAAGATTTTAAAGCTCTGTGCCATCCCAACCAAACACATCTGTCTATGGGCCATGAGTTTGCATCACCTGATTCATCCCAAGGTTCAGGGTATGCTCTCTTTCCACCAAAAGCAGAACTGGAATAATCTACCTTACTGTTTTGTTTTTTTGAGACAGGGTCTCACTGTGTAGTTGAGACTGACCTGGAACTCACTATGTAGCCCAGGCTGGTCTAGAACTCAGCAATCCTCCTGCCTCAGCCTCCTGAGGGCTGAGATTACAGGCGTGCACCACGCCCAGCTACCTTTTTGGATTCATCATAGATTTGGGTTTGGGATACCATCTAGCTCAAATCATTCAAAACAGTAGAGGCTAATCCCAGCACTTGGGAGGCTGAGGGAGGAAGATGTAGAGTTTGAGGCTAGTCTGGGCAATTTAGAAAGACCTTATCTCAACATACAGACAAACAAACAAGTAAAAACAACAACAGGAGCAAGGGAAATGATGATAGGGTCTTTATAATTGTCCTGCTAAGAAGTTCAAGGATGTGAGGGCCTGGATTGGATGTTGGTGGATGCTCCCAGAAGTGTTGAGATTACTGCCAACCCAAATGGTAGGATAGTAGTGGGAGAGTCATGTTGTTTGCTCTTCTTTAACTGTTTTGCAGTAAGTTTCTTGGTGAACTACTTACTGCCTTTGCAGTAGCATATTCACCTATACCTAGAAGGACAGAATTATTTCCAACAGCTAGGGGGCTCTAGCAGTCCACCATTCAGACAAATGGGTTTGCTGTAATTCACAAATCTAAAAATGGATGACTTTTCATTTTCATCTCTACATATTAATGGATCAGTATAATTTAGCCATTTGATTCATAGGTGAAAAAACTGATATTTTTGTCAAAATCTTTTTTTTTCATTGTTTTCTTTGCATTAAATTTTCTCTATGTGTAATTAGACTTCTTGATATTATGCTGACAGCGTTCTTCCAAATATCTAAATTGGAAAATAAATGTCTACTTATATTAGAAACTATTGTCATGTCTGCTAATCATGCTATGCATTTAGGTTGGTATATTTTAATCTAGTTTTTATCTAGCACATGTAGGAGAAAACTATACATTGATGCTGATAGATAACAGGAAATAAACTCACTCCACAAAAATTACATAATTTGACCACTTAAAAACCCAAACAACTTTTCAGCTTTTAGAGATGTTCAACAAAAGAAGTGGAGCATCTGAAGTTTCATCCGCTTGTCACTCTCGCTATTTTTTCTGACATTTGCACTATCAAGGCACTGAAATGTACTAATTTAGCCTTAATTCCCAGTTTCTCCTTCTTGTGGCCTCCATTCTGCTCTAGGATATGTTTTAAAAGCACTTAGAGACACTTAATGGACAGATTTAGCAAAATCTTCATCCTGTTTTCACAGCTCAGCTGCATACAAAAGACTGAATAAATTCTTTCCTTCTCCTGTCTTCATCCCCTAGAAATATTGATTGTGGTCAAGGGGGGAGAGTACAGAGGGAGATTTTTCTTGTATGAAAGCTGCACAGGAAAAAAATTTTGTTTGAATTGGTTCTTTCCAGATGCTAAATGCCCACTTCCTCTTTCTTATCATCCACTTTAATGTAGTATTGGAAATAACAGTACTTAAACAACTACCCACACATATTTTCTGTTTCATGAATATCTCAAACATCACTGTTTCTCAGATATACCGAATTCAGGAAAATAGAAAATGCATTTTATTCCAGACTCTTCTTTCAAATTTGCAAACTCAAGAGAGTTTAAGAGAAATGCAATCCACATGTTTCTGGGCATTTCTACTTAAATACATTCATCTAAAGGGTTGTCCCCCCCCCACGAACCCTCATGAAAGTGATTTAATGTCTAGGAAGCTTTTAAGATAAATTTTATATTCCAGTTTTTTAACTAAGAAAAAGAAAGTTTCTTTGGATGTGATTAAATTACTACTAAACACTTTAGAATTTGACTTTGGCTTAAATTTAAAAGTCATTTTAGTAAAGGTGAATTCTGACTTCACTTCTAAACTATCACATTACATAATCTCTCATCTGTTTTATCATTTCCTTTATCATAATGTCTCGCATCCTTTTTATATAGTAAACCATTCATTCATTCAAGTTATATTTAGAGTACCCTACTTGTACCAGGCTTGCACTAGGTTTGGGGGTGTACAGCAAAGAACACAACACACTCCCTGCTCACACATTAGAGTCCACCAGAAGAGAAATGCTGAACAAAGAATTCCAAGTGTGATGAGACAATGCCAGGGAATAGTAGGAAAGACTTGGTAGCGGAAGGGTCTATCCTAGGCTGAGATCTTCAGTCAAACAAAACTCTGGCCAAGAGAAGAGCCAAGTGAACAAAGTGGCAACTATTAAACTCTAAGGTGAAACAGAAAGGAGACCAATGTGGATGAAGCTTGGGCAAATGAGGAGGATGAGGGATACAAGACATGGCTGGGGCAGGTCATGCAAAACCTTATGTCTTCATCTGCCTCCAAGGATTCACTGTACAAAGCTGAGGCAGGAGGATCCCAAGTTTGAGTCCACCTGGGTCAACGTAGCAAGACCCTCTCTCAAAATTTAAAACTGAATAAATAAATAAATAATGGCTGGGGATACATCTTAGTGCAAAGGGCCTGAGTTCCATCCCTAGTAACACACACACACAAACACACACACACAGAGAAAGAAAAGACTCTCAGCATGGTCATATCCATTGATAAGGAGCAAAACTGGTCTTCTTCCCCACAGCCTGACTTCTCCAGACCATCCCAACTATGAACTTTTCACCTGAATGCCACCAGCAAGGCAAAGTAAAGGTCACTCCACTGACAGTTTAAATTATTTATATATACAGACAGTATAAGTATAGATATTTGTCTTTATTGTGTCCATGTATATATGCACATATATAAATGTTTGTATACATTAGCAAGGCAAAGAAAAGGTCATTCCACTGAAATAGTTTAAATTATATATGGATACAGACAAATATCCTCCAGAACTGAGACAATAAATTTCTATTGGTTAAACCATCAAGGCTGAGAAAACTAATACAAATTTAAATGACTTATTGCAGTGTAAGACTTTTCTGTCTTTAATATGCTAATGTAGACCCTAAATCTCTTAAGAGAGGGTGTTATGGCTTGTATGTAGATGACCCTGAAAACCTTTTATGCTCATGGGAGGGGCTTTTTGGAGCTGGCTGGATCTAAGGTGTGTGGTACCAGGATTAAGGGTGTGTGGTACTAAATCAGTCCACTGATTGAAATTAGCATAGTTCTGGGTGTGGCTGAATGGATTAACTGAAGACAGAAGCCCCACCCTAGGTATGGGTGCTACTACACAAAAGGTTTGTAATTTGGATGGTTTAAAAGGGAAAAGGGAGGCTTGCTGCTTCACCTTGCTATCAGCTACTTGCTGCCTTCTGCCTACCCTGCCATGGACTGTTTCTCTTCTGCCATGTCCCTCTGTCATGCTGCATTACTTGAAGCCAGCTGACTATCGACAGAAACCTCTACAAACTGTGAGCTGAAATAAACCTTTCCTCTTTTAACTTTGGGTGTTGCATATTTTATTTCAGCAATGAGAAAAGTAACTAAAAAAGAAGATATAGAATATAACCAACTTATTTGATAGGGAAAAATTTTTTCCCTTAGTTCTCTCATGGGGGTCACTATTCTAGAGATCAGATTATGGAAAATGCTAACTTAGGATCTTGAATTCAACAAAGGGTTAAGGAGGGGACTATGCAGTGAGCAAATGAGTAAACAAGTTTTCTCTAAGAAACTAATAGCCATTTAACACACCTGGGACACCTTCCTCTACAAAGTGAATCTATAATAAGTAGATTTTTTTTTTTGACCCTGTAGAAAGCTGAGTGAAAAAACTCCTAGTGGCAAGAGAGGAAGCATTTGGAGCAACCACATGTTTCATTTTATCTCTAAGTACCACCTTGACCCAGGATCAGGAATACAATTTGCTGGGCCCAGGGCAAAGTGACAACACAAGACTCTGAGCACAAAGTATTAAGACTTTCAAAATGGTGACATCAGAGCATTAAACCAAACTTAAGGCCCTCTCAAACATGGGGATCCCAAGTGCTTGCATGAATCTCCATGTTTATAATGCCAGCCTTGCTTTGACCTGTGCAAGGCAAACCTTTACAATTTCACACCACCACCAGGGTTCATTTCATGAACTGCATTTAGAATATTTCTTTGTTGGGAGTACCCAAAACTACCCCCGGGTTTGGTGACTCTCTAGGAGGGCTCATAGGATTCAGCACAAATATGTATTTGTGGCTGTGGTTTGTCACAGAGAAAGGTGACAAAGCAAATATAGCAAAAGAAAATGTGCATGAGGCTAAGCCCAGAGGCTTCCCAGGATCCTCTGCTAGGGGAGTCACACAGAATGCCCTTAAGGAAGCTCATCAGAGAGTCAGTGTTCATGGTTTCTTTTGGGAGTTTGTACATAGTCACCCTCTGCCTACCATGCACCAAAATTCTAATTGTGCTAATAAGTGTTTACATTCTCAGGAAATAGCAAATTTGAGCACAAATCAGCTTCTCTGACACTTTCTCATACTCCAGCTGAGGGGATGAACTTATCAATGAATTCAAATTTCTTTTGTTCAGCAATTGAAGATGATTTCTCAAGGAAGCCTGTAAAAGATAGCATATAAATGAGTCGCAATTACCTGGTTTAGAAAAGATGTTTCTATCTGTGCTTTAACTTGGTGGGGCAAGAGGTGAACATGAGAGTTCAATGCACCTGTGTTAGACGTATTGCATTCAAGATTTTGTATAATGTCAGACATGGCTGAGATCTTCCTACACATAGTAACCCAAGCTTGATTACTAGTCTCCAGAAATTATTTTCTCTCAGATAGCATGGTGCTTTCCACTCCAGACCATCCTGCATGGTAAAGCTATTGTACTTCCTCTGTCCAACCAAGGGGATATAAACTCAGTCATACTAAAGTACAACTGACAGCTAATTTAATGGTTCTAAGATAATTGTCCCAAGGATGTTTATGGTTTGACAGGGGATATTAATTACATCACAGCCTTAAAGATGGACCCTCAACTAACAAAGTAGACTTTGTTTTGGTAGGACAATCACTTGGTAAGCCCTGGAAGGTACATTCATTGTCAAATTGGAAACATTCAACAGAAGCCTCAGTTAAGTGTGATGAAAAGCTTCACTGACGTGATGTTTTTAACTATTTTCTTAGTTTTCATGGCAATTATATTGAGAATAACCCAGGTTAAATCAACTGCCACCTAGTATTTGGGGAAGGAGAATCAGAAAGGGGTCTGGGCTAAGTCCCCAAATGATTCAGATTTCTGTTTATCCAGATTGTGTTTTGTTTTGATCAGTCTATGCACATAAGGCTGTATTTAATAAATGGATATGTTAAACAATTCACCAATAATTCCAGTGATAAATTATTATTTAACATCAATGTGTTAAGGAACGGATAGCATAAATTTGGTTTTTTGCCCTTTAGAATACCAATACTCTTGGAAAGATAACATGGCACATCAGAAGGAGCATTACTTTTGAAACTTGGCTCTTTGACTAAGAAGTTGGGTGGCCTTAAGTAAGTCACTAGACAACTCTGAGCTCAATTTCCTCATCTGCTTAATGGAGAAAATAATTTCTCTCCATCATAGAATAGGTATAAGTATCAAATAATGTAATGCAATACATATAAAAATGGTTGACAAACTATAAATAGTATGTGTGTGTGTGTTCACACTAAAAATAAGAGACAGTGGTTGCATTTAAGAAAGCCAGCACATTTAATAAATGATGGCAATAACCCAGCCCATTATGGGGAGCAGTTACTGTCACTGTCTGCATCACTGATGGCACAATTAACTTAATTAACACATACCTCTGTGGCAAGTCTGCTGAAATAACACTTCTCCTTCTAACACACCCATGCCTTGCCAGCCAGGCATCTCCAAGTCATGCATCTTCCGAGTAGGGAGGCTGGACTGTTAAATGGCTTGTAGCTGGTTTGCAGAAAACAGAATTCCAGAATACCCATATGATTAGCAGTTTGAATTGCTATATATCAGAAGCCTCACCAAAATCTTGTAGAATAGGGCAGAAACCAATGCATCTTATAGCCAAGGTGTGTCTGGATGGGATGAATATGATCCCACAGGGCAGTGGTGACACACCAGTGGCATATGTGTTATCTTTCTTTCAAGATAAAAGGTGTTAATGTATGAGTTGTTTTTTTCTAAACTAAAACCTCAATATTCAGGTTTAATAGCAGTGTTGGCACTTTGCCATGCATAAATAAGTGGGTTTGAGGTTGCATTTTTGGGCAATCATCTCTAAAAGGTTCGTCATCACTTCCATAAGGAATCCATTGTCATCAAAGCAAACTGACTTCCCACAAGAAGGGAGTCTTGAGCCTTTAGTCTGTCCCAGTAGAAATGAGGGGTTTTGACAGGTGAGAATGAGTTCATGTCTACATAAGAAGAAAGTCTGTAGATACACAGCTTTTCCATAGCATGGCCTCTAGTTGATTGCCTTGGTTGAGTGCTATTCAGGGCTGAAAAGGAAAACCTGGGATAGAGAGATATATCAATTCTGATTTGGAGGTCTTTAATTGTCCTTCACTTCTCCATAATTGAAAAGCTCTCAGGAATGTTCTTCTCTTCTCTTAATTCTTTGGATCTATTTCATTTTATACCTTTCTACCTATCTCCTCTGACGGTATAGAGCCTTACTTTTTTTTTTTTTTTTTTGTACCGGGGATCAATCTTTGGACCTTGCAGTTGTGAGGCAGGCAGCGGCACCACTGAGCTAAATCCTCGGCCCTAGAGCCTTATTTTTATTTGTACTCATGTTGATAATTCAACCTATGTTTCTTTACAATATTATTTCAGGCATGCAGCTCACCTCCCCAATGAGATTGCAGTTTCTTTAGAGCCAATACTGTCTATTTCCCACAGCAGTCTAAAAGAGGACAGGTTCACGATAAATACTCAGAAAATAATTGTTAATTAAATTTATTTCCCTTTATTTTACTTTTACTGGAAATTGGGTACACTGGTTCTGTAAGATTGGCTGCATGTATTTGAGATGCAATATATTAATGGTTTAAATAAGACAAGTTTATTTGTCTCTCATATAATAGTATGAAATGAAAGTTTTAGGGAAGGCAGACAGCTGTGCTCCTGCAAGTGATCTTGAGATTTGGACCCCTTCTATCTTGCCATTCTGATGTCCTTTCTGTGTGGTTCTCACAGTCCTGGTTGAACATATCACATCAAGGAACAGGTTGGAGGATGACAGAAATACATAAGTAAGAGTAGCTTCTCAGGGCCTCTTCATATCATTTCGTCCACAATTTATTCATCAAATCTCAGCCTCTACCATAACTGACTGGAGGGAAAGATGGGAAGTGTAGTCTTTATTCTGGTAGATGTCCAAACAAAAAAAATCAGTACTATTAACATAATAAAAAGGTTTTCAAATTTTTAAACAATAATTTGCAATTAGAAATACATTTTCTGTGACAAGTCCATCAGCATCATACACACATAAAAATACAACAATTTTTATGGAGGAACACATACCTCTATTTTGTGTGACATATTTTCATGTTTTATAAAGTAAATGCCAGGCCTGGTAGCATGTACCTATAATCCCACTACTCAGGAGGCTGAGGCAGGAACTTGTCAATTTAGTGAGCCCTTATCTCAAAATTTAAAGGGTAGGGCTGGGGATTTAGCTCAGTGGTTCTGGTGCCTGCCTCACAAGAGCAAGGTTCTGAGTTTGATCCCTAGTACAAAAAAAAAAAAAATGTACGGTAAGGGGCCTGAGAATGATCAGAAAAAAAATATAAATTTACACACATACCCATGCACACATATATACATATTTAGATAGATATACACATATCTCTATCTTTCTATCTATCTATCCATATTTTTAAAAGTGTTGTTTGTGACTGATGAATGAAGCATGGCCTGCAATTTGAAAAGCACTAGTACAGAAGGATGAGAGAAGAGTCCTAGGGTTTTGCCAGGGACCAAGGGGAAGGAAGCACTCAGATCTGCCCTAAAACAAGATAATTTAATCTGCTTGTCATGCAGCATGCATCACAGTTTCAGCCACCAAATAGATATAAGAAAATAAATAAATCGACCAATCAGGAACATATTACAGGGCAGAGATGAAGTCTTTGTTGAGGCTTGTGTCTAGATGTCTTCCCAAAGCATAGATGTCTTCAAAGCTTCATGCAGTTTTTTTTTTTTTTTTTAAGATAACTAAATCTAGAATGTGTGATGGTAGGATTAAGGGTGTGTGATAACTAAACCACTACACATGAGTAGTCCGGATGGGACAAAAGGGGCAGAAAGATGTGCTGAAGGTCCCTTGTTGCTTTTGCTGCTTCTGCCGCCATAAGTTGTGGCCCCTCTGCCACCCTGCCTTGGAGCAAGCCATTATGGACTGAAACCTCTACAAACTGTAAGCCAAATAAACCCTTTTCCCTCTAACTTTGGGGGTAGGGTATTTTGTCTCAGCAATGAGAGAAAGTAACTAACATACACTTAGACCAAAAAAAGAAAAAACAAAATTAAAGGCCAAAGATGTTTTTGCCTCTCTTGGTCAAGACCAAGAGATCTTCTCTCAGGATAGGAAAAGAAACTATCTTTGTCTCTTAATATGTGTTGTGTGCAGAAAAAAACACATGCAAAAATATACACCCCCATTGCTCCTTCTGTATTTTAAGCTTAACTGATAATTCAGATCAAACCTAAATGGATCTCATTTTAATTCTGTCATGGCCTCAAATTTATGAACTGTGTCAAGGACAGCCTCCTATCTTCACTGTGATAGTGTATCTCGTAGGCTTTCCTAATTCACTTTTGTGCTAGTATAATCTATATAACAGATTTGTCATTCCTTCTGCAGACTTCAAATTTGAGGAAAACCTCATATTGTTTGATGTGTTTTCTTTGACAGTTTCAACTGACTTTTGTCAGATTTTTGACAGGGGAAAATAAAACCAACAACTTTGAGAACATTACATTGCATTTGTTTTCAGAGCAACAGTTTTGGAGGAGTTTGAAATGACTTCTAAATGATGTCACAATAGATGCTTTAAAACAGGCCCCAAATCCTTTGTGCTACAAGCACCACTGGCTTAATTCGTTCCGGAGGAGGCATCCTCTTTAACTGCAAACTAATTGTGTTATGGGCTCCTACTATGTTGCTTCCAGAGGTTTCAGTTGTGGTAAACAGTGCATTTCCATGGCACTTATTGAAAGATGCCTGGGTAAGAGGCATGACAAGAGCAGTGATAGGCTACAGAGCCTCCATTATTGCATCAGGGCCCATGAACCCCAAGACCTAGGTCACATTACTGTTTCTCTGGCTTCATCACTGCAATGGGGCAGAGTCACCACTTCAGACCTAATGAACATCAATAGGAATGAGAAGTTTTTACTGCCTTAAAGGCTGCTAAAAGGCTTCTGAAGAAATGAGTCAATGTTTTCAGTCTTGTTTTCATTCCACGTCCCAAAGCTCACCCAGATCGGCATCTGTGTTTGCTGCCTCCAGAGAGACAGACAGAGAGAGAGAGAGGCTAATTACCGGACAAAGCTGGGGATTAAGCTTCCCTCTTGCCCTTCTGAGGGAACAGTCCCATTGGAACAGGGCTTATGGGTTATTAGGAGAGTGGTGGGGAGAAAAGGTGTTTCCTCAGAGCAGGCCTTCCCATCCTGCCTGGATGAAAAGGACTGAAATGGACAGGGCTTTTAATCTAACACCTTTGGAAATCACTAGAAAACCCTTGCAAGTCTGCCAAAGATGGAGTATCTTGTGCCATATATTCAAGCAATAAGACATGACAGGCACTTTATTTCATCAGGGCCACACACCTTATGCATTTTGTGGCAGAAGGCCAAAGCACAAATGACTTCAACTCTAACGGATATTCTTCTACAAATGCATTAAAATCCTTGCACTGACTTATTATTACTAAGAAATGAAAATTACCTGAAAACTGAGGAGGAAGAGAAATTTCTTAAGATAGGTTCATAAGGGTCAGGCACCCTGACAGCCAATAAGAACCCACCATTTGCAAATAATGTCCAAAAGACACATCTTAATATAGGCAGTCTAGATAAGGGCTTTGAAATCTGAAACTCCCTCTTCCTGTATTGCCAAAGGCCAAGAGTCAAAGTACACCATTGGAAGGTGAGATGTGTGTGAGCACATAGACCAGTACACCAACTTTCTGGTTTGGATGATTAATATTTTCTCATTTTCCCTAAAAGACTGAAAGAGAACGTGTGTGTTTATGGAAGAATTCATAACACTATGGGGCCAAATTAGCTTTTAAAAATTTGTCTTTGAAGATGACGGCTTCGAGGTGGTTGTAATCTGGCCCTTCTCCCAGAGAGAGGTACATTTCTAGATGATTAGAGAAATTCAGGTAAGAATGTTACTCTGCTTCTGGCTTTTTGCCTTAAAATATGACCTAAGGCAAGCTATCATTTCCCAGAAATGAAATATGTCATATGTTACTATTAAAGTGAACAAGAAAAAGAGCATTCTATTTCAATAATGGGTTTTGTTTAAAGAAAATTTTAAATGTCAAATCCCCAAAGGAATAATACATACTTGATACTACTATTGAAACAGCAATACTAGTAATTGCATGTGGTACTTATATTAGTATCGTTCATATAGTAAAGGGATTGCATAAATCTTTCAGTGAAATTATGGTGTCAGAGAAAATAAGAAATAGCATCACTTATTCATGCCATCGGTTGACATTTGTTGGTGGTGACTATGTGTCAGTCATAAGTCTAAATGCTGGAGATGCAAAAGAATAAAAATGAAGAGAATATCTTCCTGCCTTCAAGAAGCTCACACTTTAGTTGAAGAGACAGATGGAGCAAGTAAATGCAAAGTAATGTCACAACAGATATGACAGGGACTGGAGGCTATACTACAGGAATCTATTAATTCCAGTGGAAGGAGTTTTTGCTATCCTTAGTGACCTGTTCAGCTGAGCTGACTGACAATAACAGAATTAAGTACATATTAAGCAGATGGAACAGAATGGGCAAAATTGTAGCAGCAAAAATTAAACAAATAAATGAAAGCATGGCACATTTGGAGACTGGAGAGTGGTTTTGTGTATCTACAGAGGAAAGCCTGTCAAACTAATGTCAAATAATGTGCTCTGATTGATCAGTTTGAGTTAAAGAAACATGAGTGACTTCTGAGCAATATGTTTATAAAATGAATGCATTTTGTATTATGGGCTATAAAGCCAATGCATTGACAGTAAGAGACAAAATGCTGCATGGAAAAAGCTGTCATACTCACCATGACTCATCTGCTAATTTATGAAAATACTTACATCACAAAATACAAGATGGTTGCTCCCTTCAAGTGTTTATGGGTGGATTGAACCTAATTTTGTAGCATTAAGATCAGTTTTCTGCAGAGAAAACATGTCAAAGAGGATTGGGTAACCCTTTATAATTGTTAATATTTGATATTCAGTGTCACCTTTTAGCCTAAGATCAGTCTCACACACATAAGAACACATAACCACCATGGAAACATAGGTGGTATTAACATAGTGAGTCACTGCTTTTCTATTTTCCATACTCTAAGGGCTTTCTGCCTATATATTTCTCTGATTTTTAGCAGTCAGTGGATACAGTTGCAAAGCAGTGATATTACTCCTACTATTACAAGTCTTAGGGTAGGTTATGGGCCGCATCTTACCATTCATAGTTCTCCTGGCAGGGATGAGCTTTTGACATATCCATTCCTCTACTGCTTGGCTTTTTTGCCTACTGATCTCATCCCGAGTGGAGAACATATCTGGCATTGGCTGTGTCTTCTTGGATTTTTCAACTTCCTCAAGAGAGTAACTGAGTATCATCATCATTATCTACATGAACATTATATTGTCATTATTTCCACAAAAGTATCTCCCACTACTGCTGCTGCTTGTAAAGCACTCACTTTATGACTGTGCAAATCTGCTATTCTAAGAACTGTTATATATGCACCATATTAACCTCATACCAACATTAGAGGGTAGTGCTGCTCATAGAACTTTCCATGATGACAGAAATGTTCTATATCTGTGTTGTCCAATATGGCAGCTATTAGCCACATGTGGCTATTGATTAGTGGTACCAAGAAACTACATTTTTCATGTATTTAAATTTAATTAATTTCATCGAAGTAGCCACATGGCTAATGACTATTGCATTGGATAACACAGTTACAGCAGCTGGTGGTTTATAATTTTTATTTTGAAATACAAATTCTGTTTTCATCATGAGTAAGAATTTAATAAAGGTTAGTTTGAGCGAATGGGTCTGAAATATTCTTGAAGCTGTTAGTGTTTTAAAAGAGGCTTCATATCTTTCTTTTGGAGAACTTTTAGTCCACCTTTCTTCTTCTACTCTATTAAAATTTGATTTAGAAGATGTCTGTGGAATATATAGGGTAACATGGAGTCTTTCATAAACCAAGAACTTATGAAATATGTGAACGATATCTTAAAGGAAACCTCATTGTCATCCAACCATCCCAAGTGGTCACAGTGATAGGCACTCCAGACCACCTACTGAAGAGTGGAATTGCATACAAAGATCCTACAAAGGAAGACCTACAATTCCACTTATAAAGTAAAATGGTGAAAGAGGGTTTTATGTTTTGAGCATTTATGATGAAACACAACCTTCAGATAAACTCTTAATTTCCTTTCAGCCTTCCTATCACCAAAATCTTCTTGTTCTAGCTCATGTGTGAGAATATGGGAATAAACTTCTTTAAAGCAAAGAAACTGACTGGAAGACTTAATCATATCTCTGATTAATCAATCCTGTAAGTCTGACTTACGACTGCTGGAGAAAGAAAAGTAGGGTCTTGGTTTGAACCATCTGCCATGAAAATGGGACATATGTTTGCTTTGTTTACTCAACAACCAAATGTAAACTGATATACTGAACTAGAAATCTGTGTCTTGTGTGATGGTGTGTGTGTGTGTGTGTGTGTGTGTGTGTGTATTGGAGAGATGCCTAATGAAGGCAGCTTCTTCTTCCCTGCCTCTGAGAAACGTGTGGAGTCAAGGAGCTGCGTGCACTGGTGGGATGTCTTTGGGCTTTGGGGTGCACAATGAGGTGCAGACACATTTTGGCAACTCCAAATAATGAGCAGCAGGCAGCTAGAAGCCGCCACAGCTGAAGGGCAACCTGGCTGATGTGTAGCTGAATAGAGAGCTATCCACCCCTCCTCCTCTTCTCCCCGCCCTTACACCCGGGCCTCAAACTTCAATCAAAGCCCTTGCCCTTTTCAATTAACCCCCCTCGATCAAAATGAAGGTTACTGTTCTGTCTTTCACGGCTGCCCATTGTTTGGAGTGATGGGGTTACAGATTTGACACCTGAGCTCACGCAGACTTGATTCAAATTCGGTTTCCCTGAGAGATGAACTTGGACATCAGCAAAGATCTTGAATAAAAGCCCCGAAACGCCAGGCAGCCACCTACCACTTTTCCCCAAACTGGACCTCCGACCTAGAGCAGACTTGGGTGCCCCAGGCGCCTAGGAGTGTGTAAAGCAAAGCGCCTGTCCCAATGGAGTAGGGGGTTCAGCAGCAGGACTGGGGAAAAACGGTCCCAGAGGTTGGGGTGAAGGGCTGTGTTAGTTTTTTTTTTTTTCCTTTTACTCGTGAAACAGTCAAGATGGAGGTCCCTTTATAAATTCCCCAAAGCCAGGTCTGACCAGGCTTAAATGTTGTAGGTTGGGGTCTCAACTTCTGTCTCGCTGTCCAAACTGGAGGAGACAGGTAAACACCACGTTTGCGTGCATGTGTCTGCTGGTGTAAATGAGCTGGAGGGTACATCCCACGATCACCGCTCAGGGGCTTGGGGTTGAGTGTCTTTAACGCGCCAAGTCTTGAGTCACAGCCGCGAGTGTCGTGGGACAAAAACTTTGTGTTTAGAAGAGTCTGGCAAGGGTACAATAAGGAGAAAGAAGAGCCCTTGTGCATTGTACTCTTTGTGTGTGTATGCGACGAGAGAGAGAGAGAGAGAGAGAGAGAGAGAGAGAGAGAGAGAGAGAGAGAGAGAGAGACTAAGAGGGAGAGAGCGAGCGCCTGGCGGCGCCGGCGGCTGGCTGCCTAGCCCTGGGTGTCCTGTGCGTGCCTGTTGGTAAGCCTCCGGTCCCAAGGCGGACTAGCGAGCGTGTGCATCTGCGGTGGCTGGGCGAAGAAGCTTCGGAGGCGACTTGCGGTGCCCTGCCCGGCAGCGGGAACACCACCAAACCGAGAATGCTCTGGCTAGGAGAAATCTGGCCACACTATGCTCTTCTCCGCTTCCAATAAACATTAACATCCCCACTGAGCATCCTAGCCCTTGTCTCTGCTCGGAAATTGTCCTGGCCAACTCAGCCCTAGAAGCTCTAGAAGATTACGGTATCTTTTTTTTCGTAGCGCAGAGAAAGTGAGCCCGGAAAGAGAAGGAGGAGGAAGAGGTGGAGGGGGAGGAAGAAGAGCAGGTGACACCCCTCCAATGAATGAATAAACGAATAAACATAAATAAATAACTGGCTTCTCGCCTTAGCTGGACGCAGTCGGTTGAGTCCAGGTCGGTGGCCTTTGGAGTTTTCTCGTACTGTTTGGAAGCCCATCGCCGCTCTCCCTCTCTCCTGCCCCAGGCACCCGGTTCCACCTTCTAGGCCAACTTTGCGCCCCCGGGGAGAGGTGCTTTTGGCGGCTGGTTGCACCTGCTGGGGCGCGCGGGTGCTGAGGCCCAGCACGCTCTCCCGGCGCGGTCGGGTGAATGAGCTGAGTCCCGGGCGCTCGGGCGAGTGTGCGGAAGGCGCTCTCGTTCAGGAGGGAGTGGAGGACGCGCGAGGCGCGCAGGGGCTCGAGAGCCGGGTTCCAGCCACAGCCGGGACACAGGTCCCTTTCGCCCGACTGCCTCGAAAAGGAGGAGAGCGCCAGGGGGAGGGGGTTGTCGGTGACCGGCTGTAGCGATTGGTGGTTTGGATGCGGTGGGCCGGCGGCAGAGCCCGCGAACGAGCTGGCGCACCGGCGAGAGGAGGGGGCGGCCAACTTCTCGAGAGGAGGGGCTCTTTCCTAGCCGGAACTGGCTGATGATTTATTTATTCGCTTGCGTTGAGCCTCTTGGGTTGCAACCCACAGACACCCGCCCCTTGGACTTTGGGAGCCCGCGTCCGACCTCCGCAGCCCGCTGCAGCCGGGTCAGCCCCCTCCCCCCATACGCGCACACACGTTCCCAGCTGCGGGACCGGGTAGGGGTGGGTCTTCACCCCGGTGTTGCAAAGTCCCCCAAGGCGGGAGCGAGGGAGGGACAGGGGCGGAAGGGGGAGGCTTCAAGGCTCTGGACTCTCATTTTAAAGCGCCTTCTCCCTTCCAGGTTGGGTCGGACCTGAACCCCTAACAGCAGAACCGCCTCCCACTCTCACGCCCTCCTGTAGCGGAGTCGCCGGTGGCGGCGGCTGCGGACGGGCCGAGGGTTTCCTTTCGCTCTGGATGGAGCTGAACTTTGGGCTGCTGGAGGATCGCGGCCATCCGGGGATCGCTGCATGCTGAGCTCCCTCGGAGAGACCCAGCGGCGGCTCGGGATTTTTTTGGGGGGCGGGGACCAGCCGTGCGCCGGCACCATGCTCTTGGCGACCCTGTACTTCGCGCTGCCCCTCCTAGGTAAGTTGAGGCCTCCACTGACTGACTTACCTATCGAGTCTTTCCCGTAGGTGCCTTGCGGCACCCCCCACCCCTTTTCAAAAAAATTGCTGCGCCGGTGCGGTGGCTGTGGGAGGAGGAGGTTTCGTTTTAGGGAAGGGGCTCCTGAATCCTTGGGCTTGGGAAGCAGCGCTGCCTGCAGCGCTTCCCGCCTGGTTTTTATCTGCCGTGGCTTTTACTGACCCAGACTGGCAGGGAGCGAAGGAGGGTGAACCCTCAGCCCCAGGCCTGGCGCCCCTTTCGAGCCCCGAGGAGCTGGAGGAGGCGCGCAGGCAGGTGGAGCATGGGCTCACACTGGACCGAAAGAACAAACTTCGAAGGGAAAACTTTTCTTCGAATAACGTCTCGGCGCTCCCGCCGGGCACACTTCGGACCACTGCTCGCCCGCCTGCCTCCCGCCCAGCTCGCAGCTCCTCACTTCCGCACCGAGTGCCCTCGGGCCGCAGCCCGGCCGGGACTCGAAGTGCGAGCGGCTGCAGCCCGTGATTTCCGGGGAGGCGGGGCAGCCGCCGGGCCGAGCTGCCCCAGGGCGGTAGGGCCCTCGGTCCGGTAGGCGCCGCGGGCTGTGGGTCAGACCTGCGAAGCCTACCAGGGAGTCTGCGGGGCCTCGTCCGATCCTAGCCCCGGGAGGAAGGGATGGCAGCAGTAGTTCCGTGGGCGGGAAACGAACTCGGTGGAGCTCGGAGTGGACCCGCTCCCTTCCCAGGGCGCCCGAACGCTGACCGAGCTCAATCGCCCAGGCGCGCGCCCTTCTCCGGGATCCGGGGCGTTGGGGCCCCGTCAGGCTCCACTCAGGCTTCTTCCCCTTCGCCCCGCAGACTTGCTCCTGTCCGCCGAGGTGAGCGGCGGGGACCGCCTGGACTGCGTGAAAGCCAGCGATCAGTGCCTGAAGGAGCAGAGCTGCAGCACCAAATACCGCACGCTGAGGCAGTGCGTGGCGGGCAAGGAGACCAACTTCAGCCTGGCATCCGGCCTCGAGGCCAAGAATGAGTGCCGCAGCGCCATGGAGGCCTTGAAGCAGAAGTCGCTCTACAACTGCCGCTGCAAGCGGGGCATGAAAAAGGAGAAGAACTGCCTGCGCATCTACTGGAGCATGTACCAGAGCCTGCAGGGTACGCGCCCATCGCCCAGCACCCTGCCAGTCCCTCTGGAAGGCGGGGGGCCCCTTGGTTCTCCCCCGGCTGCGCTCTTCCTGCATTCAGTTCTCTCCAGCTGCAGAATGAGGACCTTTCATTGGCCCTAAGGGACAGCAGCAGCTGGTGTTTGCTGAGGCTGAGCAGCATAGTTGTCGCTGGTTGTGGGAAAACCCAAGGGTGGGTGGGGGCACTTATGGGACCCCGCTGGCCTTTCTGAAACCTGGTCAGAACATCCGTGTAGGGACCCATTAAAAGCCACGCAAGGAACCTGCAGCTTCTCTCCAAGGAGAGCCAGAGGCTCTAGCTGGCTCCACAAACTAGTGATACAATGGTGTGCCCTGCGTTTTTCCAGTTTCCTCCTTTCTTCTCTTCTACCTATTCTGACATAGGAAAAAGAACTCTAAAAGGTCTACTGGAATCCATTTTATCTTTACCCTTCTCAAACCTGATCAAAGGCAGATGGATGAAATACCATTTGTCATCTTAGATTAGCTGAGTCTTGAACCAGCTGCTGTGGTGCAACTTTGGTCAACATAGAAATAGCTAAGGGAAACATCACTTGTCACAGCCACCCATTCTAATGAGGAATTGTGTGCCAAAGGTGGTTCCAGTTTGTAAATCTGACACAAAATCTGTGTATTAATTCTTCGCTGAGGCTCACCCTGAAAAATTCTAACATACAGATTTGATCTGTCAGTTATGAATTCCTCCAGAATCTGTATTCATGAAAATCTGTTTCAGAGATGGACTCTTCAGAGGCAGGATACCTGTTTTCTGGCTGCTTACCATGTTTGGGGAGTATACAGAAATGGGAGCTTCTCTGGGTCTCCTTTCTTCCGTTGGCTCCTGGAGGCAAGCAAGGCTTGTGATGTCATTGGCACTTTTCTCTCTGGTTTCAGATCTTTGTGGAGTGAGAGACTTTTCTGGCAAGAAATAGGCTGGGTTTTTCTCCAATGTTTTCATGGCACTCTGGGGAGAACAAACATAACAGAGATAGAGGAATGAAAAAAAAATACCCATAGCCAAATACATGCATTTCAAACCTTTGAAAGTTTTAGTATCTTTTTTGTTGCACAATCATAACATAATTTGAATTCAGATTAAGCAGCGACACATTGCGTGAAGTGCATCTATATTTCATATCTGAGCCTAATCTTTCTGTTGTAGGAAATGATCTGCTTGAAGATTCCCCATATGAACCAGTTAACAGCAGATTGTCAGATATATTCCGGGTGGTCCCATTTATGTCAGGTAAGCAGATTTACGCTTTCACTCTGATGCCTTTGGTGGCTTGAAATCCATTGGCTTGCTTCTCTTTGGCTCTTGAAGAGTGTATAGTAGATAGTTGAATGGTATAGTGTTTCTGGAAATTAGAAATAAGATGATGATAATGAAGAGGCATAATGCCTAACGCTGATTGTATGACTGAACAGTAATTCTAAATGAAGTGATGTGGTATAGTGGTTGGGAAGAGGTTGGGAAGAGGTTGGAGGGAGGTGACTGGTTGAACTTTTTTTTTTTAATGTTAAAATATGATTGGTCAACTCTTGGCAATGGGAATGCCGTTTCTGTCTGTAGGTGGCAATCATATTCTCTTGTTGCTGCATACTTTACAGAATGCCTCCCTGGAATGGGATCTAGTTTAACGATGCCATTTTCTTTAGGAAATGGGAAGTAATCTTAGATGATTGAAAGAATTTTGAAGACAAGTTGGACTCACTTGTCTGCCTTTGATTCAAAAGATTAAGCTCTACCATTTGTTAATTTGTCTGTTTCTAGTTTTTCCCGAGCAAGTATATGCATTTCTGAGAGAATGTACGCCTGTCCAGTGGCTCTTTAAAATGTAGTCTTGCTTCCCATGACTTGTTTTGTCTCTTGCTGGAGTTCTCCGTTTAGTTTGGAAATGAGCTTAGTTTTAGAATTTTTTCATAACATCTGCAGTCAGACAGCCCATAAATAATGAGCAAGGCAGTAATTTCTCTTAATGACATACAGATTCCAGACTGATGTTGTCTTTATTTATTTACAGTTAAGGCATTTTCTCAAATATATATAGCCACCACAGATTATATTATTTCTTAGTGGTTAATATTGAATTGGATTCTTGTGAGTTGATTGATTGTTACTGATGAGGGTTCTGGTGTTCTAAATGCTTTAGGTTTTCCTGCAGAAGAGCCAGAGAACACAGGGAATGAGTAATACTGATATTATGTGTGAATGTATTATACATTTATTCATCAAATGTTCACTGAGCACCTACTGTGTTCCAGCTGTTGTGGTTTGGAAGTGAGTCAGTTATCATCTTTGCCCTCATGAGTCTTAGGCAGCCAGCAACTGACATTAACAAAATAGCCCTTACTATTGTGTTAAGAGCTTCCCATCTTTACCTTACGTCATCATCATCATCATCAAATGCTTCTTAGGTATCATTATTTCCATTTTAGAGGTGAAGATATTAAGGCATAATTAAGTTAGACATCATCCCAGGATCATGCTCTTAAGAGTTACAGCCAGGGCCAGGGATTTAGCTCAGTGGTTCTGCTGCCTGTCTTGCAAGCAGAAGGTCCTGAGTTCAATCCCCAGTACCAAAAAAGAGGAAAAGGAGGGAACTTTTGGGCTGGGGATTTAGCTCAGTGGTTCTGCTGCCTGCCTTGCAAGAGCAAGGGTCTGAGTTTGAATCCTGCTACCAAAAAAAAAAAAAAAAAAAAAAAAGTTAAAGCCAGAATTTTAAACCCAGATTTATTTGACTCCAGGCTTTACAAATTATCTACCCTTTGCTACTTTGAGTATGGTCCTCAGATCAGTAACACTGACACGTTGAAGGGGTTATTCAGAAGTGCAAAATCTCAGGTTCCTTTCCTGACCTACAGAATCAGAATCTGCGTTTTTGACCCTACCCCTCCCTGGCTGAGGCCTTCATGGGTACATGAAGCTTGAGAAATACTCCTCTACATGATTTTGCCTAGTAGTTTAAGGAAAACTCTGTGTGTGTGTGTGTGTGTGTGTGTGTGTGTGTGTGTGTTGGATAAGATATAAGTAATTTAGCCTCTGAAACATTCATATTACCTGAATAATGCTGGTAACTTCCGTTCCAAGTCCCCTCCTAATGATCTTTGTCCTATGAGTCCAACCCTGACAGTGACTCAAACATTGGAATAGAGGTGCACAGAGAAATGCCCGTGACCATCTCTGTTTTTGTCTCTAGGAACTAAGGTGGGATGTGGCCAGTTGGGTACCAGAGGTGAACCTGACCTTCCTCAAGGTTTTAAGGGACAGTGACTCCTACTTGTTGTCTCCCTTATGGGAGTGTCACTGCCCAGTCTTCACTGGTGGCTGGAAGGGTTTGAACCTTCCCATGTGTGGTGGGAAGGGAAGAAGTGGGCAAGGAAGAGGGTGCATTTCAAATTGCCATGAATTAGGTTCCTGTGCCGACTCATTTCCCTCTCTGGGTTGCTCATTTCTTTCACTGGAGTAAATAAGCTGTGGTCCTAATGGTCCATGATACTTAGGAAGATTGAAGTCATCTCCAGAATCCTTGCATTTATGTCTACACTCCGAGTGCTATGGTCATTCCTGGGTGCCACTGGCTTCTCTGAATTGCTTTTATTAGTATTGGAAATGACTCATGAATCTTTGCATGGAGCAAATTTCACTCATTCATTTATTGGCGCCTTCTCTCAGCTAGGGCTCTTTTCACAGCAAATATGATCTTGGGTTTGTGAGGTCTGTCCTGATGAGAACCCAGAAGTCATAATGAATTAAGCAGAGTCAGGAAGTCCTTGTCTAGGGCTCTATTTTATATCTCAAGGGCATTGAATTTAGGTTCCAGCGCAATGGAGCAATGACCTCTGACAGTGTCTGTGTTCCTTAAGTGGGTGTAGTAAAGCCAAATGGAGCCTTGAGAGGTTTAAGTCCTTGAATAATGCATATTATCCAGTTTGGCCTTTCTAGGATGGAGGAGGACAGAGAGGCAAGATGATAAATGTTGCTTTTCATGGTATGAATCTGAGTTTCTAGAACATCTCTTCTGGCTTGAAAAATCTCGCTGAGAAAGCCAAAACAGAAGGGTCTCTGCCTTTCACGGGTGTGGTAGCAGTCAGAGTTTCCATATTTGGATTTCTCTGCCCAGTGTGAACAGCGTGTTTATCCACATACATTAAGTGTGAGCTGACTCCTCCCACTGACATGTTTGACATTTTTGTGTTTCCATTTTCTTTGGATTCCTCAAACCCACAGCTGTCTCTGCCATTGTTGACTTACTAACCAGACAAAAGACTATATTGAGGTCTTATCCTTGGGCTGGTGGGAACAAGCAAGGGGACAAAAATAAGGTGGGATCCAAAAAACTGACATCTATGTTCTAAAGCCTGGGCTAGGGCAGTCAGACTGCCTAGTTAGGCTTGCATTTCAGTGGGTGGTTGGTGGGCCTAGTCTTGGGGAAAAGGAAGGCTCACTGAAGGGCTTGAGGGGGCACATTTAACCTGGCTTGGTGCCAGTGTGGTTTTCTGGGGGTTGGGGTGGGTCCTGGAACATGAAGTACACAACTGGAAAAAGTAAACTGATGCAAGCCGATGTTTGAGTAGAGAAGAATGTGGGAAAGTCTCCTGGGAGCCGGAGGGCAGAGCTGTGTGGGAGCTTGGAAGCTCAGGCAGGAATCTGGGATGTGGTGCTTAACATCTGCCTGAGCCACCGCAGCTAGCTTCGCTCTTTGGCCTCTAATCTGCCTCTCTTTTCCCTCACAAAAGTTCAGGCAACAGCAAGAAGTAAATAGTGACTTAAAAGGATGAGGACTATGCAGAAGGGGCAAATAAGGTAGTGAGAAAGTTTGAAAGTAGAGTGGGTGCCAAGAGAAGCCTGAGGGCGAAGGGAGAACATAAGCCCCTCTTGGCAACAACAGAAAAAGAGGGCTCCAGGGTTGCAAAGTATTGATTGCAAGATTGGATTTTGTAGAGAAGAGTCAAGAGATGCCAGGCCTTCAGATCACAGAATCAGAGTGGAAGGCATCGTAAACAAGAGTCAGGTGGAGAGAGTATAGCACGAGAGCTATGTCGGGATTGGGATGTTCTCAGTCCTATCTGGTGAAAGACACCATGTCAACATTCTGGCTCTGTTGTTGCTTCCAGACAAAATCCTGGTTTAGACCTTCCTTGAAGCCTTAGGATCTTGACACTAGTGCCAGGAAATTAGAAATGGTTTGCTTTGGGATGAGACATGCCTAAGCTCTTAAGTCTGTCCCCCTTTTCAGCATGATGTTGTAAATTCTTAGCCATTAGGACATTTCTAGTTTAATGTACCACCATATTTATGTTAGTATTTTCAAAACTTTATTAAAAGTTTTGCATATTGTTATGACATCATCTGCAGGATAAGAGAAAAAAGCTTGGGCATACTACCTGTTAGGGGTGTGGAGAACTTTTTCTCTCTTCTCATCTCTTGGAAACACTTGTTGTGTTCCTACATTTGAGATCCTGTTAGGTTCCTTTATTGACTCTGGCTCTGCTGTCTCCTTTCTTAAACCCTCACATCCCCTCTCCACTACTGCTACATGGGGGAAACAATTCTCTAGGTATTTCATGTACATTCACTTTCCTGTTCCTTTGCACATGGCCTTGCGTTGGCTTGGGAAAGTTCTCTTACTTCTTTGAGGCCAGGATCAAGTTTCATCACTGTGCACCTTTCTGGAATTCCCCCAGACAAACACTTCCACTCAGGAGTCCCTCATGCTGCTTTGTGCTCTTGCCTTTATGATAGCTGTTAATCATGGTGTCTCAAGAGGACTTATTGATTTGTCTGTGTTCTCCTTTGGGAAGCCAGGGGCTGGCTTGTTATGCTAGTGTCTGCTCAGCACCATGCATTCTTCTTGGTCCAGAGGTGACATCTTGTCACCCATTAGTGGTTGAATGCCAGAGAAGTGTCCTTGGAGACCTAGTCCAACCTTCAGCTCTTACGGACTCTAAGCATAGAGAGGGGAAGTAATTTGGACAGCATCATACTGCCTGAGGGTAGCCTTAGGAACCTTTGCCAAGACACTGCTTACTTACGGGAGGCCAGTTGGCCTCTTTCTGCTGCTTACTCTCTGTCTGAACTTTATCCATTTCTAGGATTTCAGCTACCATTTACGCCAGTGACTCAGAGCCTTCCTCCTACTGTCGTCTTGCCTGAGCTCTAAGCCATTATTTCCAGCTGAGTTCTGGACAGTAGCTGGGTTATCTCAGTTACCCCTAACTCAGCATGTTCAAAATGGACCTCAC